TGTGTGTGTGTGTGTGTGTGTGTGTGTGTGTGTGTGTGTGTGTGTGTATTTCGTTGGTATGCATGCATAGGTAGAGACACTGTAGCTATTTTCTGAGGAATTAAGGAGAGTTCAAGAGACTCAGCTCCCCAAAGGCAGTTGTGGTTCCCTTGGTTAACTCACCTCCGGCTCCCTTTTGAGACTGCTTTAGACCCATGTGTGACCTTACGGCTCTGTTCTGGGCTTTTTAACTGAAGTTTTATATTGAAGGATGGAGCTGGGTTTACAAGACTGGCAGCCTACACGAAGGAGAAGCGGGGCTGAGCGCTCTGTCAACCGGGGGGGGGGGGGGGGGGGGGGGGCGGCGCCCCCCGCCCCCCCCCCCCCCGGGGCGGGGGGGGGGGGGGGGGCTCTCGCTGCCTCCTTTCCAGACTGCCCACTCTACCCGAGTACAAACCCTCGCCCCACATTGCCTACCACGGCCACCACAGCAACTAGTAACTAGGAAGCTCATCTTAAGATCAGACCCAGAGCAACGATTAAATAAATAAATAATAAACAAACAAACAAACAAACATTGGCCTGCACTGCCAGACAGCATCCTTCCACAGTGACTCTCTCCCACTCCATCAGTTAAGCATTCTTGGCTACAAATTCCTGTCTGCTTATGTGAATTAGGGACACTATTGCGTATTTTTTTTTTTCTATTTCCAGTTGAATTGACACAACAGCATAACTACTTATACCACGAATTATTGCTCTCAGGAAATCTCAGTCCCCATGTAAAGAGGTCACACAAGCAGCTGGGTCCTTTCCCTGGGAAGCCGTTTAGCCACAAAAACTAAAAGATTTTCATGCGTTGTTTTTTTTTTTTTTTTATTTCTCTTTTTTTTTTTTGCAACTTTATTTTTTTTCCTAGAGTGTGTAATGATGTCCGCTTTGGGTAAAGATAAACTGTTTCCTGCACTGAAGAAAAGGGGGAGCGTGTGTTCCCCAAGTAATCACGAGTTCCGACAGAAGGAAGGCTGTTGGCGCTTCAAACAGTGAGTACCTGGATTTCTAGTGCCTCCAACTATGATTAATGTTTACCAAGAGCCAAAACATTTTCCTAGGAATGGAACAAGGTAGAAATAGGCAAACACAATGCTCCGTTAGTCTTTGGAGCCATATGTAAAATGAGCAATGAGGCTTACAGTGATCCTAGCATCATATTTGCTGCTTTGAAAACTACCTCTCACCATGCCAAGAATAAATAAATAAATAAATAAATAAATAAATAGATAGATAGATAGATAGATAGATAAATAGATAAATAAAACAAAAAGCACAACTCAATATTATAAAACTGCAGTTTGTACATTTTGTAACCAATATACGAATTTAATACAACTTTTGTACTATATTTTCAGTCTTTGTCTATATCCTCTTAAATGGCTGTATAATATTTTATGAATTTGTTAACCAATGGATAAAACATAATTTCAGACATAGTTAGATGCTAATGTAAGCATATGGTTTTGTGTCTAAATTAAAAATTTCTAGCCAGACTGTGGTAGTGCACACCTTTAATCTCAGCACTCGGGAGGCAGGGGAAGGTGAATTTCTGTGAGTTCAAGGCCAGCCTAGTCTACAAAATGAGTCTAAGACAACCAGGGCTGTTACACAGAGAAACCCCATCCCAAAAGCAAAACAAAAAAGAGGCTCTTTCTGTCTAGCTATTTTTCCTGTTATTCATAGACCTACCTGTATGTGGTATTTTTTTAATCTAGCTCTCTCAACCAATACACTATGAATTCATTTGTCTTTGTAGCAATAGACACACTGAGAAGGAAGGCAAACAAAAAAATAGAGTGCAGGTAGATTTATTTTGGGGGTGCGATATAAGATCAGCTCAGATTTGTTCTTTTATCTTCCTCTATACTGTGACTGATGTTTAGTTGTCATCCTGGGCAAAATAAATATTTGAAGAGCTTCCTTGTGTCATGAAAGAAAGATTGAGTATATATATTCAATGTTATCATTGTCATCTGTTTCAGAATTGGATGCTTTTTGTTCAAGTTACCTTTTTATAATATATTTTTATGTTTCATTTTTTAAAAGGAAGCATCATTTTTCATAAAGTCATTAATTATTTGAGTAGCTTGAATCAAGAAGGACTCCCAGCAACAAAATGAAACCTCTTAAGCTAGGTCCCCTTATCCTACAACCTAAAACCCATCTTGGTTTGTGAATTTCCGCACTCAACTGTCATCCTCCCCACTGGGAAATCTAAACTTGGCTTCTTCACTTAAACAATCTTTAAGGAGAGAGGTGGTAACAGAAGACATTGGTTGAGCTGTTATCATCAGTTCTTCTTTCAGAAAGCTTTGTAACAGGTACCGGCAAGCAATGGCCAAGCGCCAAGAACAGTCTGAAACACGGCTGGGTATGTTTTCCCTGCTAGGACTGGTTATTACGTAGCCGAAAAGACTTTTGTTAGCCAAATCTTTTCATTGCGCAGAAAGTGACAATCCGTGTGTGATTTGCATGAATGGCCCTGTCCCCTTTGTTCACCAAGAGTCCAGGCAGGTATGTGCAATGGTGTTTTACTTGCTGGAAACGCACCCTCAGGCAGACTTTAGACAGCATTTGAACAAATGCTCTTATCTCCTGTCCTTAAAAGGGAAACAGAAGCCATGAGGTGAAGCGACTTTCTCCAGCCAATGTGGCATGCTATCTACGCCTGTTAGCTCAGGAGCCAGTAGTTCTCCTGTGCACTTGGGTGAAGAAGGTTGGAGACTAAACAGCCTTTCTTTTGCCTCAAGCCAAAGTCCTTGTGATGGTCCTGGAACAAATACTACACGGACCCCATTGTTCTCCACCAGAATGTATGGAAGGCATCTAGCATGGCATCTACCACACTTTGTTGACTCCCTTCAGCTATTTACTCAAGATATAGTGAGCCTCTGGTACATGTCAGCCACTGTGCCACACATTCGGCATGGAAAAGAGAATAATGGAAGGTCCTAGTCAACATAACGTGCTCCCTTGAATCCACAATCCTCTACCTCAGCACCCCAAGTATTTGGATCATAGTTACGAGTGGAATACCTAGTGGGAAGTTACCTTAAATGAGATCCCAGCGTGAAAACCTAAGCCATGGGGGAAAACCGAGACCGTTTTGATAGATAGAACAGCAACAAAATGTAGTATTGTAACCAAGTCTATAATAACACCATTAGTAGACTGCTAGCATATGTGTGTGCATGTATAGAGAGAGTTACGTGTTAATTTTAAAAAAGGGAGCCCGTTCTAAATAGAGTCAAAAGAGACGGCAAGGCCTGGAAAGAAAAGCTAACGGGCAAGCAGAGTAGGAAGAGATGCCCACGCACACTGGAAATGGGAGCTGTATGACTTAGCCGTTCTACACGTGTCCTGAGAGCAAAACGCTGGGAGAGAAAATACCAAGTAACGCTGAGGCCAGTGAGAATGAACGTATCTCGAGCTGTGCACACATCATATAGACAATGTAACAATTCATTTTAAAACAACAGTGTATTAATAGTATATCTCTGTAGAGGCAGAGAGTTGAATTGCCTTTTGTATGTGCCTAGTAGGACATCTCAAAGACACAGAATAGCACTTGGGCACAAACTGTCCTGGGCACAAACTGTATGATCGGTGAGTGAGCAATTACTGTATTCTGTGAATTCTTGAACAAGTCCATCTTTTGCTCTCGGATAAATTGGATCCACAAGCCCACATATGTATTAAGTCCAGAGGGACTTGTAAGATGAATGTACAGCACAAAGTGTTTATCCAAGTGCTCCGTACAAAGCAAGCTTGATTTGAGCCTCCTTATTGAAAAAGTCCATTTGCATCTATTCCGGAAACGAACGGGGGAGGACGGAAAGAAGAGGGAGTAAGACAGTAAGCAGGGTTTCCTTTGCTTTGGAAATCTGCTGTGGCTGGCCACACCCCTCATTGCTGACCTCACAGTCGGAGCGCAGGCACTCCCTCCCAGCATCACCCCTGATCATTTCTGTGGCTTTGAAACTATGCCTCATTGGGGCCCTGCAGGAGAATATGTCACCTGGCCTTAACCATCAGCTCCCTTCCTCTCGGATGAGCACTAGCCACAGCCCCAGGAACGGGTCCTAATTTTGCCCACAAAATGATTATTCTGTTCTGACAGTCACCACTGTAGATTCCCTTCCATCAAGCCAGGGCTAGACTTTTCACAGGAGGTAGGTGCAGTCTTTGTCCTTTGAAAACTACTCCCATTCTTGAGAAGTATATCCCACGAGACTAAACCTTCCATGGTTTTCTGATTTCTTTAGTTCCTGGAAGTCATAACTTCTGTTTCCACTATAACCTTTCTCTTTCTAGAAAGACGAACCAGATGGGAAAACATGTCATAAAACTGCATAATCTTCACAAAGTTTGTTTTTCCAACCAAGCACCATCATGGGTTTGATCTTAAATATAATCAGAAAAAGAAAACCCTCCATAGATATTTTTAGTCCCTAGTTAAGCACATTTCTGTGTATATTTTATCTTACTCTGCATCATGCTTCTAGTGCATAGGAGTATAATTTTCTTTTGTACTATCATCTCTTTCGACTGTCTGACTCATTGTAGGCAATGAAAACTTGTTTAAAAGCTTTAAAAAAAAAAAAACTATACAGAACCTATAGCCTTCTTTGTGCAGTGCAAAGTTTATCCACTGGGCGGCAGCACATGACTTTAATAACAAGCTTCTCCCCCTTATCTGAAAGCACACTTAACACCAGTTAAGAAACCTAAGGGCTTATGCTTGCTCTCAACAGTAACTCTTCAAGAAACCTGATTACAATCCCGCCCTCAAAAGTAGAGCATGGGCTTCCCAAGCACGGCCTGAATTTTTACATGAAATTTACACGTTTTGACTTAAAAAAAAAAAAAAGCAACTTTGTTTTCTTTTGATGTATTTATTGAAGCTTTCTAAACATCATTTCCATTAGCTAATAATTTTTTATTTTTTATATTAATTACAGTTTATTTACTCTGTATCCCAGCTGTAGCCCCCTCCCTCATTCCCTCCCAATCACACCCTCCCTCATCCCCTCCCTGCCCCCTCTAAGACCACTGATAGGGGAGGTCCTCCTATCCTTCTATCTGACACTAGCTTATCAGATCTCTTCAGGAATGGCTTCAATGTCCTCCTCTGTGGCCCAGCAAGGCTGCTCCTCCCTGGGGTGGGGGGAGATCAAAGAGCCAGCCACTGAATTCATGTCAGAGGCAGTCCCTAAAAATACCTTTCTACAAAAGGTATGCATTCACTGGGTGTTGGTGGCACACGCCTTTAGTCCTCAGCACAAAAGAGGCAGAGGCAGGCAATGTCTGTGGGTTCAAGGCCAGTATGTTTCAGGACAGCCAGGGCTATGTGGACAGCAACAAAACAAACACAAACAAAAATTATACATTCTTTCTCTGTTCCCTGCCATAAGAATTGGTTTGTTGAATGTTTTTATGAGCATTTAGATCAGATTTTCAGCACATGCCTTATGCCAGCACTTGGGAAACAAACATGGGAGGATCACAGAGAGTGGGAGGCCAGCCTAGTCTACCTAGCAAATCTCCAGCCAGTCACGCACTACACAGCAAGACACTGTCTTGTTTAATTAATTATTAATTAAGATAAGAATGACTGTAGCATTCTCTTGGCAGTGAGACTATGTGTCAGGAAGGATTACCATTGGCAGAACACGTAGCTGATATGTTTACTGTACTTATACCTGCAGTTGGAAGTTTAAATGCAATCAATGAGCATCTCCTGTGCTTGTCTTTAGCAGTTTAGGTAGCTTGGGTGGAGCTGCTTATCAACACAGAATATATCCCCTTTTGTGTACGCCAGTGTTCTGGATGACACGTGTAGTTCTGCGCTTTTAAAATATGGAAACTCACTGATTTCCAAAATTTACCAAGAATCTGTAGGGATAATTCAGTTGTTAAGAACCACTGGCTGCTCTTTCAAAGGACCAGGGGTTCACTTCCAGCACCCGAAGGGCAGATCACAGCAGTCTGTAACTCCAGTCCCTAGGGATCTGACACCCTCTTCTGGCACCGAGATTGCACGCGTCTCACAGCCATACCTACAGACAAAACACCCACCCACAAAAATTACAACAAGGAAAATAAAAATAAAATGAGAAGATGACGAGCCCACATTCCACTTAAACGTTTCTTGCCTACACTGCAAACACTGTTAAAATCACGCTTTCCTAACTCTTCACTCAGGTGCCAAATATATCATTAACATTTTCCTTATTTTTTTTTCCTCTGTTTCCCGTAAGTCACATGCCAACATTCAGACTATTGACCTTGGTTCTTTCTGATGAGTAAAGGGCTAACATTAGCTTCTGGCAGGCCCTACCTCCTGTTCTTGGTTTAGTTACTTTCCTGTTGCCAAACACCTTGATGAACGCATCATATAGAAGGAAGGGTTTATTTGAGTTTATGGTTCTAGAGAGATAGGTATCCATGATGGCACAGCGGCAAAGTGGCAAGCAGCAGGCATGGCGGCCGGAGCAGAGCACTGGCCTCTCACCTCATGAACCACAAGCACAAAGCAGAGAGAACGAAGCGTGAGTATGTGTGGCCTGAACCTCTCAGAGCCCATCAGCAGTGACCTGCTTTCTCCACCAAGGCTGCACCCCCTAAACCTGCCCTCAAACAGTGCCACCACCTGGGAACCAGGGGTTCAAATACCAGAGATCCTGAGGGACATTCTCATTCAAATCACTGCAGTCTTCATACTAGAAGAGAAACAAACATCACTACAGTGTTCAAAGTAAAAATTCAGGCTGGAGAAATGGCTCGGGGTTAAGATCATGTGTTGGTGTGCCAGTAGAGCCAAGTTCGGTTCCCAGCACCCGCATCAGCTCACAACCACCTTTAAATTCAGTGGGGTCCAGTGCCTCTGTCCTCTGCCGCCATCTGAGCCCATGTACACACACACACACGCACACGCACACACATACACACACACATAGAGATACACACATACACTATAAGATAACAACAACAATAAACATAATAATAGTAATAATAATAATAGTAATAATAAAGTTTCTAAAAATGTTTCATGAAGTTACAGTCCACTGGAGACATGGTCAGCCTTGAAAATGCAGAAAGTAGTGGGCTACCCAGACATTTTTCTCTTGTGTGGTCAAGATAGCCAGGCTTGGAGTACATCAGCCAACATCTCAAGGCCTCATCTTCCCCAATAAAACTGACAGCCAGTTCCCTTTCCCACAGCTTAGTGCTGTGTGGACTCCAATGGACTCTGTTTCAACAAGTGTCCATATCAATTACATCTAATGTTTCTGTGATACCATTTTAAAATAAATACAAAACAGTGCCCAAAACATGTATATATGAAACATATATATATAAACGTGTATATCTATATAAACACACACATATATATATATGGGCCCACATATATATATGGACCCATATTAAACATATATATATATATATATATATATATATATATATATATATATATATA